CCTTTTAACTTATCGTATACAATCTACTTGAGTTGATTATCAGTGAACTTATTGAGTTACAAATGAAGCGCTAAAATTTCATAATGTTATTGCTCAATCAATTCACAAATGTATGTTTGAGGAGACTAAGTGGCTGTTAAGAAAGCATGTATTAATTGTAATGACTTGTAGGGGGGCTCGCTCTTTAGAAATCCTAAAATGAAATCAAAAAATAGATGATCACAATCCACATCTGACAAACATGAGAATATTTGTTAGATCTTGCCATAATATTGAAATCCTTCCGAAACCAAAAACTCACCCAATATTTGTATTATGTTTTCCTCATTCAAATCCATGAACAAATTATAAAAAATATATATTTAATTCTAGTTCAAAATGAGAATGTTTAAGTACAATGATATCGCTATTAATTGTATTCTAATGTTAAATATCAGCAATCAACCGAAGAGCTCCATCCCATGTAGAAACTATGATCAGCAACCGATGGAATAAGAACAGAGTCTGAACAATTGGGATCCTCATCCAATTAGCATACAGTGTATGATGCTCTGTGATACCAGATCTCTCTATCAACGTGATTGAATCCAAAGTTTTATGGTGGAACCTAAATTTAAACCAATTCAAATTACATGTGGCACAACATCCTTCTCATGCACTACTCTGAAATGAGTCACTTTAGTAAATGAGGAGAAGTAATTATAATAAGCAGTGTCACCAACTCTTGGTAATCCGAAAGTTGTTAATTGAAGCGAATTTCCAGCGATTGCTAACTACGTAGCATATAAAGTAGCCATAGCAGCTCCCAAAGAATGACCAGTAACGTGAATGACGGCAGTTGGATACATTTTTCTGTACTTGGCAAAGAGGGTGTCAAGTTATGGCTCTAGGGAATTGAAAGCCTCAAGGAATCCCTTGTGAACTTGGCATTTGCAGGCATCATTATAATTCACCTTGTCGAATTGGATGTTGTCCAACCAGTTTTAGATATTGCTTGAACCTCTGAAGACTACTGTTATGGCATTGTAAGTGGGGTTGAAAGCGATATATCCTTTTGTTCCCTAAAATAATAAGTCTTTATTTTCTTACTTAGATGATATTTTCAAAGACTTGAGGATTTTAAATATTGGGATAGTTGCCACTTACGTAGCCCAATTTCCAATTATTTATAGCTGAATTAGGACAATAGGCAGCAAAAGAGAGAGCAGCCTCCTCTTTAGCCAAATCTTCATTATAGATAAAAGTTGCGCTGACTGTGGCTGCCAAAACAACCAAAATAACAGATGATGATCTCATTAGATTTTATTATTTTATTTATACAGAATAATTCAAATCAAACTATTTATATATTAAATATATAGAAAACTCGAGAATGGAGGTATATAAAATCTTTAATAAATAATTTACATCACATTATTTAAAATAACATATTTTATGATGAAATTTTATTTAAATATATTTTTAGAATTCTAATGATATTAATGATGTCATGATAAAAATCAATTTGTAATTCATTCCACCAATCCAGCATTGCAAGCTTCAACAGACCAACCCAAATATTCATGATGGTCATTCAAATTTGTACGTGTGGCTGAAGCTGAACAGGTTTGATCTTCTCCTTTGACTTCTGCACATACAATATAATTTACTCCATCAAAATACCAAACCTCGTTGTTCACATGTTCAAATCCGAATCTGAAGGGAGGTAGATGTGGAGCTATGTCCTTCTTGTTTGTTAATCTTGTATGAGTAACTGGCAAATTTGAAAACCATTCATAAAAATCAGAGTCGCCTACTCTTGGAGCTCCAACAGTAACGAGAGTCACCTTCACTCCAGCCGAAGACAATTCACTGGCGAATAGAGTAGCCATGGCACCTCCTAATGAATGACCTGTCACGTGGAATTTAGCATATGGATATTTCACTCTATATTCACCAAGTAACCCATCCAAATGGATTTTGAGTGATGAGTATGCGGCCAAGAAGCCCTCATGCACTTGGCACCTACAAGCTGTGTTGAAACTTGTCTTCTTGGTATCAATATCTGCGATGAAATTCTTGATGTTGTCTGATCCTCTGAATACTACGGTAATGGCCTAAGTCTAAGAATTGTATGCTATGTATCCTCTTGTTTTCTAAAATAAAATATCAAGACTACCATATCAGCGTTTTCAAACACCTAGACTTTGGTCAGGTTAGGATATTTTTGACTTATGGCCCCCACATTCCAATTGTTGATGTCATTGATTTCACAATAGGCACCAAAGGAAAACGCTGTCAATTGATTTGCCAATTCTTCATCGTACTAAAATGCTGCTGCCAATGCCAGAAGAACAAAAAAATATTTCATGAATAAATTTTTATAAAAGTAGAGTAATATCAATTCACTATTAAATGCACGGTTTTATTATTAATTCCTTCAATTTACTAACTTTTATACATCCTTGTAATTTCCTTTTCCCTTTCGGATTTCAGAGACTTAAATTAATTAATCGATTTTCTTACTTTATATTTCTCCCTTAACATTGTCAAATCAACATTTAAATTTTATTAAATAACATTTTACTTCTTCAAATACTATTTTACATATTTATCAATTCGAGAATCCAATCTATTCTTCAACTTCCCACCATTTTCTAATCGTATTTCAGTGCTGCTTCCATGCATGTTACTTATAAAAGTCTTCAAAGGCTGTTATTGATATTAATGTGATATCTGGGACTACAATGTTCCAATCCTTAAACTTTTTGTACAAGAAGTAGTTTGGCTTAACTCCCCTTTTTGTTTTGGAAACTTCAAATAAAACTTTCTCATCTATTTGACATCATTCTCACTAGACTCTAAATGTGAGGCCTTTATAGAATTTTCTGGAGACACTTCATTTATTTCTCTAGGCGTTTTCAACCCATTCTCTCTTAACTCTTCTATCAATTATGAAAAGTGATTTCTCCTCAATTGCTACCCAAAATTAGGGACTTCCTTTACATTAAACACATAGTTATTAGTATTAAACACTTCACATTTCATGTTTGCCAACGTTCTAGCCCTATCAAATAATCTATAGCTCGCTTTCTATGTGATATCTGTTTATGATTCAGTTCCTTAACATCGAGAATCCCCTGGATTTAATTATTTAATTTACAGTTTTCTTTTTATTGGATAGAATGCCTAAAATGCCCTCATTTCATTTATCAATGTCTTATTGTCTACCTTTTTATCCAAATAATCCTGCAGATCACTTAAGACATGATAAAACCTTTATCCTTCAAGTTCTACATACTCTTAAGGCTATTCATTCCTTTTCCTATTAATTTATTTTAATTCATTTAATTTTTAAAACAATTGCACTGTTTCCAAATTACTGAATGCGTATTTCTCATTTATCTCATTATTGTACAGATCTAAATGATTAATCTTCATCTTGTATTCACTGGGACTCTGTTGCTCTTACTTTATTAATTCTTCATACTCAATTTCCTCATCATTTTTTTCCAGTTTTTTTGGGTTATACTATGGACCCAAATCGAATTTAGAATCTCCAGAACCATTATGCCAACCATTAATCATCCCTTAACTAATCCTCGACGTCTTAATAATACGAGCACTTGATGGACCATCATGCTTCAAAGTAGAGTCTATTTTACACACTCTCCTCTACCCAAATTGCAAAGCTACCTTTCTATCAATCTTCTAAGACCCTTGTAATTACACACGTGTTACCTTCTCCTTCAACCACAAGAATTGAAGAGCCCTGTCCAAAGTGATTGGATGAGGTGCTTGGTCTCTGAACTTTGTGCATTTACTAAAAAATGCCACCTTAAATAAATCAAATAATTATACGTCCTCCTTCTCCACTTGTTTCAATACATCCTCATATAACAATTTGTGTCTGTGTATCTTCAGCATTTTCTTTTTCATATTATATAATTTATAAAAGTGGTTAATTGATATTATAATTTATATTTTTATGATTCCATATGAAATTATAAATTTTAATATCTATTTATGAGAACGAATCCCAAAACTAATAGGTTATCAATCCCTATACTACTCAATGGTTTCCCACTTCTTAAAATGTAATTCCTACCTTCTGAATAATTCCCTTCTCTCTATAATTTTATCGACTAGTTTTTTCAATCAACTAGTGTATTAAAAATGCTAAAGTATTCAAGAAGATCCCTAAGTTACACAGTATCATTTATTAGAGCCCAGCTTGGAAGACTTAAAACATACAAGTAATCCTAATAATTTTACTGAATCCATTTATTTATTTTAATATAAAATCAGCTTAAATTATATTTTAACTAAATAGATGATCAAATATTTTAGCATAAAATTAAAGAATCAAATTGATTGGTAAATGAAATAACAAATTAATATAATAGTACTATGATTATTTAATAAAAAACAGATTAAGCAATATGAAGTCAATCTTATAAACAAACAATTGAAAATAGAATTTGATAAAGATTTATTCAATCTTAAATAATTATCTATTTAAATTATATTATTAAAAATTTAAGAGGAATCACGGAATATCTAATTATTTCTGCAATTATCTAGTCTTATTGCACAATAGTCCAACTTACTTTTGCTTTAAATCGAATATTCCTAACAATTCTGTCAGCAATCTAGGTTGCAAGGCCATCAAACCTAAAATTTAAACTGATGTGAATTGCATGAATTACTCCTAACTTACTGAATTACGAATTCTAAAATATTAGATTTAACATACATTGAATCTGCAATAGATGACCCATTCAAATCAGTCTTTTATTATGAATCTATCAAATCAATCATTATTTGTTATAAAGTATCATACAAAATGTTTTGTATTTTCCTTTCCTTAATGATGCTGCTTTCATTTTTACTGTTATTGAGAGTACTTACATCAAAATAAATAGAATTGGCATAACCATTTTTATTAGTGATCTTCTACTTGTTTTTGAAACTTTAAATAGAAATACTAGCACATTCAGATAATAAACTTCTAATTTAACAATATCTATTTGTGACTTTCTAAATGAAACGAGTAGATTATTATGTTTTAGATCTTAATTCCTAAACTTGACGATAGATAAACACAATATCATTAATTTTCTATTCAAAGAATATATTATTCATATATACTTCTTATTGGTTTTCTGACTGCACATTTTTCATAATGTGGAGTAGAGTACTCTTAGATTTCTACTTTAATGGAATAGACGGTAAGATCTATGGTTTGGGAATGGAAGTTTCTGGCATTGTTAAGAACATATCAACACTATTCCTGTCAACTTATTAAGAACTATATATATACTGGAAACAGTTCTTTTCTCTTGTTTTATTCTAATCATCTCCTCTTGGATTCTGAACGAATCCCTGACAATATCTCTTATTTCTATTCTTTTTTAGTACACAGTCTATTTCAACTGATTAATAGTCATTTTATTTAATTTAATCTCATCAACCATTTTGCTATGGTTTTCACTCAAAGCCTTTTCATATTTAGATATCTTGTGTAATTCCCCAACCACTTCCTTAACCGAAGGATGATTCTCAAGACTATCATTGGTAATCAATTTATTTACTCTTCTTATGATTTCTTCTTCTCCTCTAATTTTACTATTTAAAATTTTAATCTCTCAAGTTAATTCATCAAATGAAAATATCTCTAATTTAATCTTTCCTCCTAATTTACTCCCATAATTAAATACCTCTTTTTCTATTGCAATAGCAGTTTTAGGATTCACTTGTTCCACATAAGTTTGAACAACCTGATGTTTCTCTTACACTTTATCCATTCCATCATTGATGCTAAAAAATATGATAAATTTTTACGGCTCTATCAACACCATTGAACCTCGCTTCTGCAAAAGATGAAGCATCGATTTCATTTATTTTATAAATAATTATTTTATTTATTTATGCTAGAATATATTAAGGGATACTGAAACTTTATTTACTATGATTGGTCAAGGTTAAGGTATAATATTATTTTTTTGTTATTGAAAATTTGAATCTTTCACTTATTATAATAAATAATGATAGAGATGAACAACCTAGATTATAAATTATATAAAATTAATGAAATTACTTTTGATTATTGTAAGATACTTAAGAAAGGCTGGTAAAACACTTTTATCCCCACTCTCTCAAATTATCTACCACTCTTGAATAACAATAAAGATAATTAATCCTTCAGTATTCTATTTATTATAATCAATAGTCTTGATAATATTCTTTTGTGAGCCAATTATTACTAAAGGGAGCTCAAAGTCAATTGGAGTAATTTAATTTATGACAAAGCATATTTCAAGAAAATGTTTAAATTTATGGTTTTAGTAGGAATGAAGATGGTAGAACTACTGAATCATCGATTTTCTTCATTAAAATATACTCAAGGTGGTTACAAGAAGAGATATAGATTTATGAAATTAAAATAAAGAAAAAGAAGGGTTCTACCCAATAGGAAAACTGAAGGAAGAAGATTATCCTCTTCTTAGAATAGATAATATCCTTTATGAAATTTAAAGATTTCTAATTAATAAAGAGTTTAAAAGTGTGGCTAATCAATCTAAATTATTTTTTATGCGTATAGGATTATAATTTATGTAATTTCGTTAATTAGCCTATCTGGAAGGCTATGTATTTAGAGAGTTTGAATCTATTCTGAAATTTTGATTGATTATAAATCATATTTAAATCTTCGCAAGATAAGAATTGTTTCAAAATTATCAAATTTTTAATAATTTATAGATATACAGCAAAATTCATAGGTAGAATCTATTTTTCTAAAACCCAGATGAAATTTTTTCCACTTTATTGATTGGATTAATGAGGATGCACAAAATTAAATTCTGGAATATATAATTAATTTTGTAATATTTTCAAATTTAACAGTTGTGATTTTTGATTTAATAATTTTTTCATAAATTTAATCATTGATACAAATGATATGCAATTTAATTTTAGATGTTATAATGAAATTTTTGAGTAAATGATTTCAATTGCTTAAGTATATACCTTCTAATAGATTTCTAGATGACTTCTACTTTAATTTGTAATCCAAGCCATTTCGATTCAATATTAATATATTCAAAATTATACTTAAATATTTTTCATTTGATACATTAAAATGTCAATATAATATTGAATAATAAATTAAATTTTATAAATAAGGATAATATATAACAAATTTACATTCAGTGATTTTATCTAAATAATCAAATACTTTGCTCTATTTTTTTTTTTTTCGTTATAGCAAGTTCCTTAAATTTACATTCAACTATGTGTTTAAACTTTTTCTCTTGGCTTGATTTATTTTTAAGACTATTTCTAGCATTTATAAACCAATTTAAGACCTAGAAGAAATCATTAATACAGATACCTATTTGTTACTTAAATTTGTTTATTAGACCAGCTAGTCTACTTAATGCGGTTTTGGATAAGGATTGTTGTAATTCTCGATCAACCATTTTTTTAGTATCATATTAGCAGATTTTGAATAAGTCCTCTTAGTATTTGCTAAAAAGAATATGAAAATTATCTTCTACTTGGATAATTTTAGAGTAATTTTAATTTCTAGATGTCTTCATAGAGTTTGATTTTGTTTTAAATTTAGGTAGTGGCTTCTTCAAAAAATTAAGTCATTTATGTTTGAGTCATAGTAGAGTAAAATTTTTCATTTATTATCCTTGATTTAAGGATTTCAAAGAAGGTTTTAAGTTAAGCACTCTTTTAAACTATCTATCTTATAATGAGTAGAAATACATTTGTCTCTTGAGTGCATTCTACATCTATGGGCTCATTTTTCTTTTAAGCTTCCTCATTTTACTTTTGAGACATTTGTTGTTGGGCTAACCATTAAACCCAAATTTGCTCTAAGCTCTGTATATCAGATTTAACTTTCAGTTCCTTTTACTCATTGACTGAAAGAGTAGTTAAGCATAAATTACCTTATTGCTGTAATTACTAATACGAGGATAACTTATGAGGCTCTTCTAAGAAAGTTTAGAAATGCATGATTAAGGGAATCTTTTTTTATTTTTTTAAATTGATTAATTCAAGTCAAAATTTTACTGATAAATTGCAAATCAGCACTCTAGAAGGATGATGCTTTTCCAGATTTGTCAAAAAGATAAGTTTTTCCGCATTATCCCACATTAATATGAAATTAAACTGAAAGCTTATACTGAAAATGAAAAACAATGATTCNTACAGCAAAATTCATAGGTAGAATCTATTTTTCTAAAACCCAGATGAAATTTTTTCCACTTTATTGATTGGATTAATGAGGATGCACAAAATTAAATTCTGGAATATATAATTAATTTTGTAATATTTTCAAATTTAACAGTTGTGATTTTTGATTTAATAATTTTTTCATAAATTTAATCATTGATACAAATGATATGCAATTTAATTTTAGATGTTATAATGAAATTTTTGAGTAAATGATTTCAATTGCTTAAGTATATACCTTCTAATAGATTTCTAGATGACTTCTACTTTAATTTGTAATCCAAGCCATTTCGATTCAATATTAATATATTCAAAATTATACTTAAATATTTTTCATTTGATACATTAAAATGTCAATATAATATTGAATAATAAATTAAATTTTATAAATAAGGATAATATATAACAAATTTACATTCAGTGATTTTATCTAAATAATCAAATACTTTGCTCTATTTTTTTTTTTTTCGTTATAGCAAGTTCCTTAAATTTACATTCAACTATGTGTTTAAACTTTTTCTCTTGGCTTGATTTATTTTTAAGACTATTTCTAGCATTTATAAACCAATTTAAGACCTAGAAGAAATCATTAATACAGATACCTATTTGTTACTTAAATTTGTTTATTAGACCAGCTAGTCTACTTAATGCGGTTTTGGATAAGGATTGTTGTAATTCTCGATCAACCATTTTTTTAGTATCATATTAGCAGATTTTGAATAAGTCCTCTTAGTATTTGCTAAAAAGAATATGAAAATTATCTTCTACTTGGATAATTTTAGAGTAATTTTAATTTCTAGATGTCTTCATAGAGTTTGATTTTGTTTTAAATTTAGGTAGTGGCTTCTTCAAAAAATTAAGTCATTTATGTTTGAGTCATAGTAGAGTAAAATTTTTCATTTATTATCCTTGATTTAAGGATTTCAAAGAAGGTTTTAAGTTAAGCACTCTTTTAAACTATCTATCTTATAATGAGTAGAAATACATTTGTCTCTTGAGTGCATTCTACATCTATGGGCTCATTTTTCTTTTAAGCTTCCTCATTTTACTTTTGAGACATTTGTTGTTGGGCTAACCATTAAACCCAAATTTGCTCTAAGCTCTGTATATCAGATTTAACTTTCAGTTCCTTTTACTCATTGACTGAAAGAGTAGTTAAGCATAAATTACCTTATTGCTGTAATTACTAATACGAGGATAACTTATGAGGCTCTTCTAAGAAAGTTTAGAAATGCATGATTAAGGGAATCTTTTTTTATTTTTTTAAATTGATTAATTCAAGTCAAAATTTTACTGATAAATTGCAAATCAGCACTCTAGAAGGATGATGCTTTTCCAGATTTGTCAAAAAGATAAGTTTTTCCGCATTATCCCACATTAATATGAAATTAAACTGAAAGCTTATACTGAAAATGAAAAACAATGATTCAATAAATTTATATTATTTATTATTAATTTTAATATTTAATAGTGACCAAAGATGGAGTCTAAATTTCAACTAACAACAAGAAATTTAGTATCAATTCCAAAATATTCCATATGTCATTTCTTTCAAAAAGAAGAGATCTACAAGGATCCTAAAGGTCAATAAATAAGAATATTTAAAATGGCAAGATTTCTCATTTCTACTCTATTTCTTTTGTCATCCACCTTAATGTATCACTACAATCTTTCGAAAAAATAGACCATTATAAAAATAACTGTGGATAAGCATATAAACTGAGAATAATTATAAATAATTAACAATATATTTTACATGAAATCTCATAATCAAGGTTGATAAGATTTTTTATATTGGATAAATGAATTAACTGAATCTGATTATCCTAAAGTTGAGGTAAATTTTATAATTTAATTAGTTACCATCAGATGGGATTGGTTATTGTTAAATAATAGACGTATTGCATCCTGGAGCCATATCTCTTTCAAAATTAAATTTTATGGTCAGATTCCCAGATGAATACACCAAGAATCTAAAAGTACGTTGTAATATTAACGCAGGTTCTTGATGATGCATTTCCAAAGCATAAAATTGACAAAGTTGTTCCAATTGATAAATTAAGTAAATGCAAATTTTAAGATAATATGGCATTTTTGTAGTGGATGTACGATTATGCCTCTAAACTCAATCCATTTGTTAAAACTATTGTGGTTATTCAAGAAGATNTTAGACCAGCTAGTCTACTTAATGCGGTTTTGGATAAGGATTGTTGTAATTCTCGATCAACCATTTTTTTAGTATCATATTAGCAGATTTTGAATAAGTCCTCTTAGTATTTGCTAAAAAGAATATGAAAATTATCTTCTACTTGGATAATTTTAGAGTAATTTTAATTTCTAGATGTCTTCATAGAGTTTGATTTTGTTTTAAATTTAGGTAGTGGCTTCTTCAAAAAATTAAGTCATTTATGTTTGAGTCATAGTAGAGTAAAATTTTTCATTTATTATCCTTGATTTAAGGATTTCAAAGAAGGTTTTAAGTTAAGCACTCTTTTAAACTATCTATCTTATAATGAGTAGAAATACATTTGTCTCTTGAGTGCATTCTACATCTATGGGCTCATTTTTCTTTTAAGCTTCCTCATTTTACTTTTGAGACATTTGTTGTTGGGCTAACCATTAAACCCAAATTTGCTCTAAGCTCTGTATATCAGATTTAACTTTCAGTTCCTTTTACTCATTGACTGAAAGAGTAGTTAAGCATAAATTACCTTATTGCTGTAATTACTAATACGAGGATAACTTATGAGGCTCTTCTAAGAAAGTTTAGAAATGCATGATTAAGGGAATCTTTTTTTATTTTTTTAAATTGATTAATTCAAGTCAAAATTTTACTGATAAATTGCAAATCAGCACTCTAGAAGGATGATGCTTTTCCAGATTTGTCAAAAAGATAAGTTTTTCCGCATTATCCCACATTAATATGAAATTAAACTGAAAGCTTATACTGAAAATGAAAAACAATGATTCAATAAATTTATATTATTTATTATTAATTTTAATATTTAATAGTGACCAAAGATGGAGTCTAAATTTCAACTAACAACAAGAAATTTAGTATCAATTCCAAAATATTCCATATGTCATTTCTTTCAAAAAGAAGAGATCTACAAGGATCCTAAAGGTCAATAAATAAGAATATTTAAAATGGCAAGATTTCTCATTTCTACTCTATTTCTTTTGTCATCCACCTTAATGTATCACTACAATCTTTCGAAAAAATAGACCATTATAAAAATAACTGTGGATAAGCATATAAACTGAGAATAATTATAAATAATTAACAATATATTTTACATGAAATCTCATAATCAAGGTTGATAAGATTTTTTATATTGGATAAATGAATTAACTGAATCTGATTATCCTAAAGTTGAGGTAAATTTTATAATTTAATTAGTTACCATCAGATGGGATTGGTTATTGTTAAATAATAGACGTATTGCATCCTGGAGCCATATCTCTTTCAAAATTAAATTTTATGGTCAGATTCCCAGATGAATACACCAAGAATCTAAAAGTACGTTGTAATATTAACGCAGGTTCTTGATGATGCATTTCCAAAGCATAAAATTGACAAAGTTGTTCCAATTGATAAATTAAGTAAATGCAAATTTTAAGATAATATGGCATTTTTGTAGTGGATGTACGATTATGCCTCTAAACTCAATCCATTTGTTAAAACTATTGTGGTTATTCAAGAAGATTAGAAGCTTTTGAAAAATAGCATCATAGTCGTTATACACAAATGAGTGCACATCTGATTCCAAATACTGAATTGTTAAAATTTAAATAGACATATATTGACAGCAGAACATTTTTAAAAGTTGAATTCACCAAAGCATCCTGCAGAAGTTAAAATGCATAATGTCATTATGGAAGAACCTATCGAATTTTTTGAAAAGTGAATCACTATCTTATCTATTGTTATCATAACTTACATATCAATCTTTTGATAAATTTAATTTAAAGCAATATTCTATAGATCAATCATTGCCTTAGGATATTTATTTAATTCAAAGAATTTCAGCATATCTACAAAATATGTAACAATAAAACATTTAAAATATTCATCAGGATTTGATATCAATCTATATGAAATAAAGCAAATAAATAAAAATTATTTTAATGTTATCAAGCTCACAAAAATCCCAAGTTTACAAGCGAACTTCTTATCTGACTGAATCAGTATCTATTCTAAATTCAGCCAGACCTTAGCAATCCTATGTAAATACTTTAGAAAAGAAGGAACTCAGAAGGTACATTTAATCTCTTATTAGATATCCTACTGAATGGGCTGAATAGGTAGATAATAAAACCGACAATAGGTTTCATCATGTCATCCTTAATTAGAGTAAAGCTGAGCATAATCCTAATTTGGCATCTCCCAGTAAAATTTTCGGTTTGACAGAAAGGTTAATTTTACGTTCTATTTCAATAGTCGACGTTTGAACACTCAAAATGATGATCTTCTATCAAGTTTCAGAAGAAAAAACTAATCATTGGGCAATATAGGAAGTTGGTAATTCAATAGCACTCCTGTTGCTAATCAATCCTAAAATACTTAAAGTAAAGTCTCAACCACTTAAAAACCATAACCCATGTTAACAAGAAAATTAGATCAATCTGTTCCTCTAAGAGATTTGTTAGAGTTGTCAAGATAATTAGATTCTGCTACACCAGAAGAGATATAATAATTATCGAAAGGTTATGTTAATGAACTTGTCCAATTATCACAGACCATAACAAGATCTTTAAAATATATTAAAAGATGAAATATACACGTTTATATCACCTAATCATAATTTATTAATTATATGCTTAGAAGTGTGTGCTTATTATCCAAAATAAGGAGTAATCTCAAAATCAAAGAATAAAACTCCATTTTAACTCAAGCATCTTTCGAATTTCCTTAAATCAAATGATAGAAAATCATTACCTAAGCATTTGCAAATTTTACATAGATTTTTATCAATATTTATTTATTTTTTAATCATTACTTGTTAAAAGACTTTTTAGAGTCTATGTATATTATTTCAATATCTGATGGAGTCAAATGTAAAATCTTAAAATCATTATAGAATAGTTTAAATAATATTCATCATTTATTTGATTTTCAAAAATTTATCTAATAATTTTGTTTATGCTTAGAACACTTGAATCGAAAGTGAAATTGTATTATTTAACGTTCTTAAACAAAATATTGAAGTATTGTAATAATGAATATTATACAAATATTAATTTAAATATATATATTTGATTATATTTGCAATTATTTAAAAATTATCATATCTGCTGTTGTTGAATAAATATATATTAAATTCTAAAACTGGAAAGCAAATCGCTTTGTTGAAGATAAAAAGACTCAGACTTACTCATTATTCATTAACTAAAGTGATAAGCATTATAAAATATTAAGAAAAATAATTAGGCCAATAAACTAGGAAAATTGATATCGTTAAATAATGAGTTTTTTCAAATGAGATTGAGAAATAATATTTTTATCATAAAATATATAATTATTTAATTAAGCAGTTTATTTGTTTTAATTAACATTTTTAGATTCTTTATTTAAAATTCCCTTTTTAATTAATATTAGACTCATTTTTGAATCATCACGGCAATCCCTTTATTTACTAATTTATTTAATATTCTTTGATACTCTATTTTTAAAAATTTAATATAAATAGATGTTTTGGATATTTTATATATTAAGATTAGTCTAATCAGCCTGTTCGTACACCAATTTTGATTCGTTCTAGTTGAATAGCGACAGCTTTTATCAAGAAAAGAGTTATGTAAGAGGAAATCCATACGCATTTGGTGTATGGACACAATTTGCTCCAATTAGGAAAAATTTCTTTGCAGACAAATCAAAACCTTATTTTGATTCTACCCTTAGTCTTGATGGGTTTCATATCCTTAATTTTTAAAGCGGAGGAAACATTCAAACATTATTCTATTAATAGCCACTTTATGTTACAGGATACCCAACACTAATAATTCTGTAATATACTTAATCTGGAGTGTTTTCCTATAAGATTCAGGAAGGACTCTATTATTATGAAGGATATTGGGTTTTTACTTATTTTAGTTTTAACTACGATAACAAATACAACTTTGCATCATACAGTACAGGGGATGATCGTTTTTTTAATTTTTTGGTCACAAATAGAAGATTAAAAACATAAACAACAAATGCTAAATTAGAATATGGAGGTTAGGGATTATACATCATAGGAACTAGTAGTTTCAATCTAAATATATTTTTGGGTAGGATTTCGATAATTACTACATTTGAAAGTTCCATTACTTTTTTCTTAAATACAGATAAAGCAAAATTTCTTTCGTTTATTTTATCATGCCTTGTTCCTCCAGCATGTTAAAGTCCTGTTGAATTATCTTTTTTTCATGAAACCTATAATTAACGTAATTATACTGCTCGCAATTATCAAGTGGATATAAAAGGGTTAACTTATATGTTTGATTTTTGGATGAAGAGAGATTCTTATAAAGTAAATTCAAATAAAGAAATCTTGTTATCTTTTGGAGGTATTTTTTAATCTTTAGAACGATTTTACTAATTAGCAATATATTGGAGAGTAGTAAATCAAGATGTTACATTGCTTCACAACTTAGATGTTTATTATTTAGTACCTGGAGAATAAATAACATAGTATAATGATGATTATCTTGTGTAATTATTTAAGCCGAAAACAAGCTTCGAATAATGGAGCTACATAAAATATTAATTTTAAAAGGTTGGAGCGTATCAATATGTATACTGTTCACTCTACTAATCTTGTTGTGATACATGGGAGTAATATTATGTGCTTAATTTTCCCTATTACCAATAATATTCTAATTATCAGGCCACAATAACATTATTCACAGAATAAAATGATGTACTCATATTGCCCTTTGAAGGATTGATTTCAAATTTAAGATTTAAATACTGTTACAATATAGAATATGAATTTGGAAAAGATTCAAACATAAGTATATATAATATTGTAATTATAGATTGTAATGCGCTGTGTAAAACTTGTACAGGGCCTACCAAATATGATTGCGCATCATGTTATGATGAATAAAATAGATACTTGTTATCTGATCTTCATTAATGTTATTGTAAATCTAATTACCAGGAAGCAGGTGGTTTAATATGCCAAAGTAATGTATTTTTAATGATTTAGAAACTTTTTTAAGTTCTATTTCCTAGTAAAAAGAGTTGTATAAAGAGTTCAACTTGATCGATGTATAGAATAATAACAAGTGTAATTATGGCTATTTTGAAGTATGGAAGGATTTGAAATTCTTGGGATGCATCAAATGGTATTTATACTCTTAATTTTGAAGCCCATATTTTGGCCAAGGTCATAATTCAGTGAATTGCATTAATTGTATACTTAATTCTCAAAATTGGTATTTAAACCCAATTTGTAATATTGATTACAGAACTGATGACTCTAAATTCTATTACAATCAATAATTAGACTATCAATCCTAAGAAATATATATTATCAATATTGATTTGATGATCACAGAATAGTGTCATGGATGTGAATATATTGCTGAAATAAAAAATTCATAATCCATTATTAAGAATGTGAATGGATTAAATACCTATTATCAATGCAAATAGTATTTATATCCTAAGAATAATAATTGTGAGTTATGTGTAATAAATTGCATGAAGTGCAAAGATACAGAAAAGTGTTTAGATTGTAATCAAGGGTTTTATATAAAAGATGATCATTGCTATTAATGTCCTTAAAGGTGTCTGTCATGTAGTTTAGATGCAGAATTAGAGTAAGTAAAATGTTTAGATTGTGAACAAGGATACTCGTTAATTGATGATAATTGTTAAAAATGTGGAGACCTTTGTGAAATTTGTGAAAAACGGTTGAATGGAAATACTGGATAAGAATATATGAAGTGCTTAAAATGTAATTATAATGCTTATATATCTCTTGATGGAGAAAGCTGTTACTTAAATAATTTAGATCATTGTATATATCCTTTTCAATTTTCAATTTTATCCAGTTCTATAAATACTTATTTGTATGATTTTCAACCTTAAGAATCTCAATATATTAGAACTGGTTGTACATTCTGTACATCTATCTCTTAATTAAATACTGAAAATAATTCGTTTACTTGTATTCCTTAAGGATCTGATGAAATTCTAAGTGGATGCTATTAAGCAGTCCGTGATTCTGGTTCCCTATATTGCTACCTTGGTACTACCCGTAGAATGGACTTTGGATTTGGATTCTGTAATCAATTCATTCCAAACTGTCTTGTTTGTTTCAGATTAGATTGGGAATATTCAGGTATCTGCTTTTTATGCGAAGATGGTTATTATAATGATTATTATAAAAGTTTTTGCAAGCCATGCAATCCAGAATGTGCTACTTGCATTTAAGTTGATTCTTCAAAAATGGTAAAGTCAGCAAATGAACGTGTTTTTTATAATTTAAGGCCTATTAAAGGAAATGCAGAATATTACTTGTTGACTCAAAACCCCAATAAGAATGAAATTGAGATTATATGCACTAACTGTTCAGATGGCTATGTTAAGCATTTTGATAAATGTATCGAAAAATGTCCTAGTAGTTGTAAGGAATGCAAAGTTATTGATGATTAATAGGTATGTATTTCTTGCGTTTAATTTAATGATTCACATTATCACGTTTATAATGGAAGATGCATTTAATGTCCTTAAAATTGTAATATATGTCAGCCAAGAACTGATGATGAGAAATTAATGATCAATCAATATTTTAACAATAAAGATTTTGAATATTTTTCTAATAAATGCATAGCTCCATTATTTAATGACTTGTATTATGATTAGGATATTCAATAATTTATCAAATGTGATAATATTAATAAATGCTAAAAAGAAATTGTAATACAAATTCAAATTTATTGTAATCAAATTGATTTAGAAAATTATCTCAACTAATTTAATGAAGAATAAAAGGTAATTTATAGAAAATTTCATATTCTTTTGGAAAGTCTGGATTTAACATTATATGAGTATTATGACTATTTTCTGTATCTTAATCAAAATTTTGTTAAGGTTGTTACCTATTAACTTACAATTTCAGATAATTAACTCTGTTCTTTGAATAAGGAACTAAAGCTCTAATCAAATTTATATCAAAATACTTTTAATTTAATTGAATTAAACCTTATTTTTAATGGATCTGGAAATACTCTCTAATTGAATAATCACTTATCGCTTTCAAATTTTACACATATAAGAATTGTAAACCTTGATCTTCAAATTTAGACTGGATATATAACAATGGAGAATATCATTCATTATACTGTAGAGTTTGAAACCATTACTATCTCTCAGGATAAAAATGATTTATCATCTTAAGATTATTTAATCTAAATTAGGGAATCTTCTGAAATTAATATTTCAAATTTATAAATACTTAGTATTAATGTTCATTTTTTGAATGGATTGTTTGCAATAACAAATCAAAATATCAATACTAAACTAACAGCACAAGATCTAATTATAAACCATGTTAAAATTACGAATACTTCAATTATTAAATATAACACATCTCTAAAAATAGAAACTAAAATATTAAATTTGCATATTCTAAATTCCTAATTTACAAATACTGTTCTTATTGAGTAAATTTAATAAACTGAAATCATGAAGATAGATAATTTTATTTTTTAAAATTCAATTCTATTAAATTCTACAAGGTTCTTAAATTTTGAATAAATTTAAAATGTTTAATTAAGTGGATTATAACTTTTAGACTCAACCTTACAAAATTCAAATTTTATCTCAAGTTCTAAAATTCTGTTATTGATAGAATTCATTTTACAACACCTTTAATTTTTAGGATAATCCACATTACTAATCAATCAAAACTTAGTTTTTATTGAATTAATTTAAATTAAAGATGGTAAGATAATTGATAATGTTTATTCAAACAAAAATGCTTTAATTCTATTATTCAATTCAGATGCTGTGTATCTTAATAATATAGAATTTATCAACAATGCTATTAATATTGATAATTAAAAAGACTCTTTTGTTAAGAACATTGATTTATCTTTAATAAATATTGAGTCTAATACTGTTATATTTGATGCTTTGATGATTCAAAGAGGAATAGGCTATTCTGAATTCACTATTAAAAATGCGAATAATTTTAAATTTATGAACTCTGTAATAACATTGCACAAAAAGTATTATTTTAAAAGTCTATTTAATAATTAATAATGTAATATACAACCATTCAATTAGTTTATGTATAATAATTTGATGAATTTATAAAATAGCTCTTTTATTTATGTTTCAAATACCAATATCACTGATCTAATATTATATGATTCAGCGTTATTTGAAATGTAAATGCTTCCATAAATTAGCTCTTAATTCGTGTTTATTAAATGCAATTTTTCTTCAAACATTTTGCATCAAGTAATCAAATATGAAAAAGTATCTTTAATATCAATTTATTCCAATTATTATCTTAATTTGAATATAACAAATGTCACATTCTCCTCCAATTTATTAAATTTATTAAAAGAAAGTAACGCTTAAAAACAGAGCCTCATTTTATAAGTGGAAGCATATTAATCCAAGTGTATAATAAGTAGTAGCCTAATACAAAAAAATATGATTTTGAATGGTTAAGGATCTCTTATGTACATTGACGGTGACTTAATTATTTTGGAAAATACAAAGTTTTTTCAGAATTCAGCATTTGTCTTTGATACTTTAAAGTAATTCCTCAGATGGGGTTTTACGAGTGAAATCTTTTTAGAAGACTTATAGAAATTATATATTAGTTCTAGCAGTGGAGGAAATGGAAATTTTTAAGCTCGATAGGTCATATTCAATCAGATTTTATTATAGGACTCTATCTCAGTATAAGGCGCTGCATTTGTATTAAAAATGATAGAAGATGGAAATATTCANACACCATGTTAAAATTACGAATACTTCAATTATTAAATATAACACATCTCTAAAAATAGAAACTAAAATATTAAATTTGCATATTTTAAATTCTTAATTTACAAATACTGTTCTTATTGAGTAAATTTACTAAACTGAAATTATGGCTATGAATAATTTTATTTTTGAAAATTCAATTCTATTAAACACTACAAGTTTCTTAAATTTTGAAAGAATTGAGAATGTTGAATTATATGGATTCTCAATTTTAGATTCAACTTTACAAAATTCAAATTTTATATCAAGCTCTAAAATTCTGTTATTGACAGAATTTTATTTATAAAAACTCTCATTTCTGGGATAATCCACATTACTAATCAATCAGGACTCAAGATTTATAGAATTAATGTAAATTAAAAATGGTAAGATTATAGATATTGTTTATTCAAAGAAGCATGCTTTAGTTCTATTATTAAATACAGATGCAGTGTATCTTAAAAATATAGAATTTATAAATAATGCTATTAATATTGACAATTAAAAAGATTCTCTTGTTAAAAACATTGAATTATCTATAATCAACATTGAGTCTAAGACCGTTATATTCGATACTTTGATAATTCAGAGAGGAATAGGCTTCTCTGAATTCACTATTAAAAATACAAATACTTTTAAACTTATGAACACTGTAATTACATTGCATGAAAAGTATTATTTTAAGAGTCTATTTAATAATTAAGAATGTAATATATAACCATTCAATTAGTTCATGTACAATACTCTTATGAATTTATAAAACGGCTCATTTATTTATGTTTCAAACACAAATATCACTGATACCATATTATATGATTCAGTTTTATTTCAAATTTAAATGCCTTCATAGATTATCTCAGAATTCATAATTATCAATTCCAATTTTTCTTCAAACATTTTGCATCAAGTAAATCTTTATGAAAAAGTATCTTTAATATCTATTAATACTAATTACTATTTTAATTTGAATATAACAAATGTCACATTCTCCTCCAATTTATTAAATTTATTAAAAGAAAGTAACGCTTAAAAACAGAGCCTCATTTTATAAGTGGAAGCACATTAATCCAAGTGTATAATAAGTAGTAGCCTAATACAAAAAAATATGATTTTGAATGGTCAAGGATCTCTTCTATATATTGACTCTGACTTAATTGTTTTGGACAATACAGAGTTTTTTCAAAATTCTGCATTTGTCTTTGATACTTTAAAGAAATTCCTTAGATGGGGCTTGACAGGAGAAATCTTTTTAGAAGATTTATAGAAATTATATATTAGCACTAGTAGAGGAGGAAATGGAAATTTTTAAGCCCGATAAATTATTTTGAACAAGATTTTATTATACAATTCTATCTCAATATAAGGAGCTGCATTCGTAATGAAAATGATAGAAGATGGAAATATACAGATTAAAGATTCACACTTTTAAAATTTACAAGCTAAGTTAACCGAATCTTCATAAGGAGGAGCCTTTCATATCTAATCTTAATCATTATATTTACGAATTGATGTTATCAATACAATATTTCTAGATATTTCCTCCAGAACAGGAGGTAGTATATTTTATATAATACCTTCAACAAAATTATTCAATATCTCTTTACTTAACTCTACATTTGAAAACATTTTTTCAATTTAAGGAGGTCTAATATACATTGAAAAATCTATCCATTAACTATAAATTGTACAGATGAATAAATGTAATTTATCATAAAATTTGGATTAATTTTATGCATTCATCAATTCATTACAGGATGTTACAAATAAAGAACTGACCACTTTAACATAAGAGTATTCACTGATCCATTGCTTTGATTGCTAATTTTAAATAATTGATCTATATGTAACAGACTACCCACCTACACCGTTATTCTAATTATATGGAAGCGCAAATCTCAAGAATATTTCATTATACAATGTTACTTTTTCTAATCAATTAATGCTATTTTCTCCAGTAAGATAGTCTGATTAAATAATTTTTCATAATCTAGATTTTTCCAACTGCACTCAAATACAAATTACTGAAATAAATATTCCTTCAAAAAGAAATGCAAACCTTTTAAATAATAGTTTAAGCGCAACTTGTAATGAAAGTTTAATAGATGCTCCTCCAACTATTATAAGTTTTAATGAAAGTTTCTCTAATATTAATCAAATCGCATTTTTAGAAACTTTATTGTCATAGATATAATCATCAATAATAGCTATGATATTATTTTAATTTACAGATTAATATCAATAACAAAAAATACAACTTTCTGATATTAATCTCTAAAATAACAAGTGCAGTAAGTGCTCCTACGGTCTATTGAATTTTTAGAATAGTAAGCAAATATCTATAATTATTGGAAAAATCGCTATAACTAATTCGAATTGCGGGAAAAATGGTTGTATTTCTTTCATATCATAAGATAACCGTCTTCTTTCAAGTCAAGATTTTAATAGCTCTTTAGCTAATTCTACTATCAGAATAGAGGATTTGTAATGCATCAACAATTAAGCTTAATACGGAGGCTGTTTGTTTATCTAAAATTAAATCATTTCAATAATACAAAGTTTGATAGCTGGCAATAAGGCAGTATATGGAGGAGCTTTTTTTACAAAAGGGGTTAATTCAACATTGATCTCAGAGAATTTAGTTATTACAAATAATTCAGCTTAATTTGGAAGTGGTATCTATAGTGAAGACAACTTGAATAGAAATGTTAAAGGAATAGAAATAATTGATAATTAGGGATTGAATCAAATTGAAGAACACCCTTAGTAACTCTATCTGTAAATTATTAAAGACTAAATGATGAAACCAACAATTATATAAAATTCTAAAAATGGCCAAAAATCTTAAATAATTGGCAAAGATGGATAAAATACAATTATTCATATACCTACTGGAATATCATTATCAGAATACAGAAAATTTGAATAAGAAAAGAATAGATACAATTATTAAACTATGCAAATGAGATTATACGCAGTTAATTCATAATTAGAAATTGTTAGAAATCTAACAAATACCTATTGTGAATTACAAATTAATAATGTGAATAGTAGATTAGAACAAAATTTATCTTTAAGTAAAAATAAAATTTACTTTAATTAATCGACGTTTTCCTACAATTTAGATGATTTAATCTTTTACATTCCCTCAGATTCAAATTAAACCTTTGAATTTAATATTAAGTGTAACAGTATTTATATTCCAATAATAAACAATAAAAACAATTTAATAGAGGGGTATAATTATATTTTTAAATTAGATATCACTAAAACTATGTTTTGAGTCTTTTGATTAAGCCTAACAAGTGTTAAATGGGAGAGTACAGTTAATCTATAGAGGATTATTGTCACTAATGCATAGTAGATTAGAAATAATACTCCGTAATTTTAGGAGCTACTAGTTGTCAAATAGTAGATGATTAAAAGATTTAGGAAATAACCTAAGCTTAAATATACTTAAAAAAAGTATTCTAATCTTCTTATTACATTTAGGGATATTGGAGAAGGAAAGTGACAGCTCCTACTATAGACTTGTGCTTAAATAATCAGCAAAATTGTATTGGAGGATGGGGAGTTGGAAATGATTTATGCTAATAGGGATATATAGGGGCTCTTTGTGAATAGTGCGATTATTATAATGAGAGAGGAGGAGGAAATTACGAAAGAGAGGGCTTTTTTGAGTGTTAAATATGCTAAAATGATGACCTACAATAGCTATTTAATTTTGTAATCACAGTTTTAATGTAAAAATGTTATTAATTTAAGATTTGTATGCCTACTTCTAATGATTAATTATTTGTCTAAAAAAAGACTTTAATTTATTCGTTTAAATATTAAGCAGTTTAAAGCACCTTTTCGATAAAGTTTTTTTAAGTAGGAAGAAGTACTTATGGGTTAGACCATAAAAATTATATTGTTCTATTTTCAAATTATCAGTTATACATAAGAATTATCTTCTGTATTTTCTGATTAAGTCTAATAACTAATTCATTTTTTAGGAGATCCTTTTACGTTTTTAGGAATATATAAAATATGTTAATTAATAAATTTAGAAGTTAGTGTACCGTATTTATAGATCTTATAAAATTTTATTTTTATGCTGATATTGATGACTGCATTTGTCTGCTTTTATTTTGCTAAGATTTTCATCTCAAAATTAAAAATCACATAGATGGAATTATTTAATTTTATCTATCTAATATATATCTTCGTTGTTGGAAGTTTTCTTAGATCTATAATTCAACTTATTGCTTTTAGAGATATTTAGGATGCGTATTGGATTTACAAAAACGTTTCCTATTATTACACAAATACAAATCATCTTAAACTAGTATTTTTCTTATTTTTACCTATTGTAATAGGTCTGGGGATAGTATTACCTTATTTATTACTACAAAAAATAAAGTCATCTTCATTTTTATCAAAAAGAATCCCTTTTAAAGACTTTGGATTTTGGTTTACATCTTACTCAAACGAACATCAACATTGGGAATTTTATAAATTTTTATTGGTCAACGGATTAATATGCATAATCATAATGATTGATGCAAATGCTACAATAAAAGGAGTATTATCTTATTCTCTATTAATCATTTATACTAAAGTCTGCTAAGACAATAAAATCTATTATCACAAGTAAATGAATAGATTTGAAAGTTAACTCAATATTATAAGCATCATAATTATAATATTTTGTACACTATTTTCAATATAGGAAAGCTACGGTTCCATATTGAAAACTTTAATTTTAATTTTCATTAATTCATTACTAATTTTAGGTGGAGCCTTAATTATATTACATTTATAGAAATTGAATTCCTAAAAGTTAAGAAGAGTGTTCTGTAGAGTATTTGAAAGTTTGGGATCATTTAATGAGATATTTATAAAGTATAACATTTTTTAAGCTCATTCAAACAGTTCCATAAAACTAAGAAAAAAACGATTTGAATTATTAAAAGCTTTTTTAAAACAGCAAAGCAAAACTTAATTATTAATTATAAAGGAGTATTAAAGCTCAGATGAAAAGCAAAGGGTTTTAGGATTTTGAATTAAACAAATGGAATTGTCCAAATTATTAGGATATATTTTAATAATTTTTCATTTTTATTTAATGATTGATTTCTATATTTGGACAGTCAGCATCATACTGATAGAGTTTATTAGATCAACGATATAGTGCGATTCAAATACATTGCAAGGATGCCTTCTAGATGACACAACCAAGACAACCTAGATGACACTCTAAGATTATTCAGCCTATGGATATGGCTTCTGGTTCTAATACATATCCACACAAACAACATTATATGAGAGCCTAACTACATTCCCTAAAATTGAAGGGCTCTTAATATTAAGGGAGATAAATCCTGAGACTTTAACATATAGAGTATTTTTTTATTAAGATTGGACAAACAACAATGCTAATTAGGAAAAATATTTATATTTATAATATGAATCAAATGGCTAAATGATCTAATTAGCAAAATTCGTATTTGACGCATTCGATTTTGATGGAAAATGGATTCATATTTATGTCTCATATTAATTTCCTTATTAAAGATAAATTATAATGAATGACATTTAAAATGATAATTGTTAAATCATAAACTATGAAACTAGTACTAATTTAGAAATGAAGTAGACAAGAATTATTCAAGGAGGAGAGTTAAAATTATAATTAAATTAAAATGATGAAGTAAAACAATTGGCTTATTATCCTGGTAGAATTACGTATTTAGAGTTTAACTTCAATAAAAATAATGTAATTTTTAAAACAGTTCAAGAATTTAAGATATTTGTTCAGTAATAATTTATTCCATACCCATTTTGTTATATTTAAACTTATGATGCTTCATCAATATCAAGTTATATATATTAATTTGGATTGATTTAATTAGAATCTTGGGTTAAGGTTGATTATAAATTGGTAATATTATTTTATATCATAGAATTTAAATTATTCAGCCAGTGTTTTTGGAATTGAAATATTATTTTTGCCTCTAATCAATATCTATTAAAAATTAGTTGATTTATAGTATTGTCTTCTTTAAGCATGGACATCAAACTTAGCAAATGGAGTGTATTTCTAAACTTACAATTAGATAAATCCAGATTTTTATCCAAATCTTTAGCAATTTATGGGTTAAAGCGGTATTGCTTTTCATACTCTAAAATAAGATTTAAGATAATGGCATTATGTTTCTATTCTGTATGGTTTTGATAAAGCACAAATTCCAGTTTAAAATTTGAAAATGTGGTTCATAGATGGGGATGTATATGAAGCCCAATATCATAATAGAACATATCATTTCGATGGAGCTAAACTAAAAATTAGAAGTGGATTACTTTTTGACGCTGCTGCTGATGGAATGTATGTAACAACAGAGAGTAGTAAGATAACTGTTTGTCTACCTGAGTCTTTTGTTCTTATTAAAAGTATGTTTTTTTCATTATAAAAGAGTGTCACTTCAGTTGCTTAGATTGTAATGGTCCATATCTTAATTAGTGCATAAGTTGTGATTAGAACTCCAATAGATATCTAGAAAATAGCTATTGTAAATGTACTTTAGGCTATATTGAAAGTAATAGTGGTGATTGTATATGTAATATTGTTATCTTAAACTAGAATTCTTGGATTTCTATCCCACTTCTGTATCAGATTATAATGCAAAGAATTAAACTCTATCTTAATTTGGTTATTTTTCAATTAAAGAAGTCAATAATGAAATCATTCAAATGCGTTGTCCGTAATTTAATGAAATGTAATTGGAAAAGATAAATTGCTTAGAATGCTTGACTTAACCAGGATCATTTGCTAATCTATTAAAATGTGAATCCGATTATGTTTTTAATAGTTACGGTTAATATGAATTAATCTAGAGAGAAGAAAAAGATATCGAATTATATGTTCTTGACACATCAACATCTTCTCTTACCTTGTGTGTTGGATGCAAAACTATATGTAACTAAAATATTGATTCAAATTGGCATTTTCATACTTTATTACAAGTATATATATAATGTCAACAGCAATTCTATTATAAAAATGGAGAATGTAATGTGTGTAATTCAAATTGTAAGACATGTTAAGATTTTTCAATTTGTACATCTTGTTATAATGAAATGACTTTGAATCCTTTGACTAAGGAATGTCTTGAATGTCCAAAGGAATGCTTAGAATGCGAATATAATTCTGGTGTTCAATGCAAATAATGCATAGAAAAATACTCAGTGTTTTAAGGATAATGCTACCCTTGTAGTCAATATTGTTTAGAATGTTTATATGTTTAAAATCCTAAGGATGGATCGTATTATAATAGATGTATTAACTGCATTGATAATTAAAAATATTATTTATCAATTAATGCAGTTGATTGTATTGAAAATTTAGATGCTTATTGCACATATGCAATCTAATTTCATAAATCCTGGTTTATGAGAAATAGAGTAAATACTTTATTTCATTTGTATGAAAAAGGAGATTTTAACTCTAATTAACTTATGAATTATTGTGCCTTATGTGCTAAAGGATATGCTTCATTACTTTCAGGAACATGTGTTAGAATAGATTCAATTTCTGATGATCTTCAATATAAACAATATTGTACATAAATGTACGAAATGGAAGTGTATCAATCATTGTAATTAAATTTATTATAGTACTAATGTCTAGTATACACCAACGAATTCAAATAAACTCTTTCAGCTTCGAATGGTTGCGATTTTATGTTGTTAAATTGTGCTTACTGTTTCAATAATATTTGCTTACTTTGTTATTCAGGATATTATGCTGAATTAGCTTCTGGTTAGTGCATTGAATGTCCATCAGAGTTGAATTGCTATAAATGTGAATAGCGATCAAAGTTATGGAAAAATGGTTGGAAAATTTGGTATGCTATTATTCATTTCATGATGAAACGAGGGACCTTCTATGACGATATATTTGGAAATGAAGCATAAGATAAATTAGAAGTTGTTTGTAAGACTTGCACAATAGATTTTGAATTTTACCTAGATAAATGTATCAAGAAATGTCCAGAGAATTGTGAGCTCTGTATAAAATGTAATGGATAAAATAAATGTGTTAAATGTAAAGAGTCCTTAACAAAATCGTTTATAATGAAGTAGTACCAACAACTTGTGTCTTATATTTATTTTGTTATTATCAAATATAGGTGATTTAATTATTGATATCTTCATTATCTTTTAGAACTTTATCAGGCATAAAATGGATCCAAGGTGATTTGGCTTATTAATTTGATACATCGCTTCATTAATAATGGATTCCTTATCTTATCATACTAATAATCATTATTGGAGCTATTGTACCAGGAATTTTTATAATGTATTTAGCCAAATATAGAAATAATCTTTAAAAATATGATATCAGAAGATAATGGGGATACTTATATTTAGAATATTAGCCTAAAGCTTATTATTGGGAAATAATTAGGATTGTCAGTAGAGAGTTGATAATGATTGCCATTACATTCTACCAAGATAATATAGTAATTAAATGTATACTATTATTTATTATTTAATTTGCCTATTTTTTTACAAACTAAATGATTTTACCTTTTAAAACAAAAATTTTAAATTATTTAGAATAAAAGAGTACGTTGTTATGCACTTTTACATTGTTTGCAGTACTTTCATTATCACAAACAAGTAGTTTTTATACTCTTGTCATTTTGTCTATAATCATAACAAATTTCTATTTATTGATGACTTTTATTTAGAGTTTAATAAAAGGATATCTAGAATCTTAGGAGGAATTAATAGATACATTTAAGGATCATATTAGAGAGAAACTGAAATAAAAATTGAAATATCATGGATGTTTGGAGAGTTGGTTAGTAAATAAAGGTTAGAGGAGAAAGATAGTGATTGAGAGATATAAACAAGTAAAGAAATATCTTTTTGAAGTAAGATAAAAACACAGTAGAATAGAGAGATAGAAATGTAATTTAGATTTGTATCTGTTTTAGTTTCACAAATTTCAACTTATCGTTCTTCAAGCGATTTGCTAAGTCCTAGAGATTTCAATTTAATATTATTGAGACCATAATAGATTCTATCTACAAATAGTGAAAATAACCCTATCAATGATCCTTTAACAAATTTGATCAAAAAAATTAAATCTAAAGAATGAATAGAAGATTTAAATATTTGATGGTATTTTATCTAGTGATATATATAAGAAGAATATAAATATAATTAATTTTCCATAATGTTAATTGCAATTTATATTTGATTATTTTCATTGTTGTTGTCAATCAAAATATTAGAATTGCTGTTTAATTGCCTGTCAAAGAGTTTAAAATAACTATTACATTTATTTAGACAAAAGGGTTTTTAATATATTTCTTTTATTTTAATTAAAGTTAACTAACTAAGCCTATGTTCATAATTTTACACAAAAAACGATTCTCCAGAGAATACTTTGGGGGAAGGTTTTGATTTGGCTTAAAATAATAGTCTAATCAAATATTTGCGCTACCATAATGCTTTTGTGAAATCTAGAAAAGTTGTGGATCAATAGCAAATGCTAGAAAACTTTCATAGAATATATTAAATAATTGGGGACAAGACATCCTATTATTTATTCTACCAATCAAAAGGATGAGAACATTAAAATAAAATTTTACCAGGAAATCTTAATTTATAGTTTTAGTGTATGTAAATATGAGAGTAATAAAAAAATAATAAGTTTGCGCTCTTGATCGATTGTACGATAACAATTTTAATAATAAATACACTTTATACATTCTTCTTGTAAGATAATGCCTTGACCTTTAACTGCTACTTAACTCAATTTCATATTCCATATGAGGAAAATCACATAATAAAGAGAGAGAAATTTGCTTCTAGCATGGTTCCATGTAAATTCGTACATTTCTTAATCCTTGTTTTCAACTTGTTTGTTTTGTATTGTTGTACTTTAAATTTTTGTTTAAATAGAGTTTCATATAAGTGAGAGAACTACTGCTGGATACCAGATATAATCCTTTTGAAAAGAATTGGGTTTTCAAAGTATATAGCATGATTTTACAATCACTGTATTCACAATAAGATAGAAATTGTTCCACAAAATTATTTTGAATAAATATTTGTCATTATGACAGTTTAGTTATATCATTTATTTTTTTTGAAGTGATTGCATTGATTGTCCAAGATATTGTCAGATTTGTAAACCTAAAACTAATTCTTAATTATTAAGTGCTAATCCATATTTCTCAAATTCTAATGTCAAATCTTCAACACATACTTGTTTGTTGTTATAAACCGGATTAAGCTTTTAAGATTATTATTATTTAAGAAGTTGAATTACAATTTAGCTTTATTTAAGATTGTTCTATAGAATTCCATTCTTACATATTCACTACTTTAATTTAGAACATCTATTTTGTCACTTCAGCTAAAATTACTCTAGTTGGTAATGGGTATACATTATTCCTTAACTAAAATTTAGAAATACTGAATTTTGAATCTGTTTCAATACAACATTTAATAATTTAGCCGAAATCAACTGTGAACATTCATTTATAATCTTTAAGTGCTTTGAAAGTACTATTTAAATCAATAGTTATAAAATAATAATAAGAAGATTAAAATCCAATAACATTTAATATTGTATCCACAAATCTCTAGGAATTATAGATTCAAAACTTATCTTTACAAAATCTAAATCTACAATCTGTAACTAGTTTGTTTTCTTTCGAATATACAGTTTACTAACAATACATTAACATTAATATTGATGAATTTAATATTTAAAATTCAAAGATTCACAATTCAAATATCATTTTACTTGATAATTACTTTTAAAAAACAACAAATTGTTATTTGAATAACATTCTAATCACAAATTCCAATCTTTATGCTAGTAAATTTTTGACAACTTTAAATAACTAATATCTAGAAATGTATGGTTCATTTTCCTAAATATCCATGTATCTCTCTTTGTTTTCAGATATTCAACCTTTATTCTAGACCTTTTGTTTTAAAACTTTAAATATTAGCAGAATATCTTTAACAAATTCAACATTCTCAAATTTTATTCTATTTTAAACAAATAATGAATAAATTAATAAGGACTATTAAATTAAGTCATGTAATTTAAAGAATAGCTCAATTATTAATTTTTTTTAAGACTACTAGTTTCAATCTATTATTTTACAGAATATCGAAATTAATTAAGTTTATCATGACGATAAAACAATTCTTATAAATTTAGTATCAAATGATTTGACTAGTACAGTTAAGATGTCTAATATTATTTTAGATACAATTACTATTTTTGATAATATTGAATTGGTTTAAAATTTATAGTCAAGTTAGTCGATTATTATTATCTAATCCAACTTAATTGAAATATCTGATGTTAAAATCATCAGATCGACTGGCATTACAGAATTTTTATTATCCTCAGCTATTAACTTAGTACTTTCAAATTTTACTATTACTTTAAACTAAAAGTACATCTTTAAAAGCATTATCACAGATGAGTAATGTTCATAACTTGATATATATTCTAAATATGCACTCACTTTAATTGTTTAGATGGCATAAAATATTAGAATATAGAACTTTTATATATCTAATCTTATTATTTAGGATTTCCCTATGATTTACATAATCTCTGTAGCAACCTAAATTATTAGAAGATCTGAATCTATTGTAATTGATTTAATGAATGTAGATAATTGCATCATATAAAAGAGCTAGACTATTAATTAGATATCTGTAATTCTTATATAATCAGAATAATAATAAGATATCCAAATTCTAAATTCCAGATTTAATAATAATATTTACTATTCATACACCAAAGAATCTGAGTCTGAATCAGCATTAATCTTCTATATAATTGCATAAAACTCCAAAATATCACTGATTAAATGTTAATTTACCCAAAATTATATTTCTTAAAGCGAAAATAGCTTGTTAAATATAAATAGTGAATAAATTCATATAATTGATTCATCTTTTATTTCAAATAATTAGATTGGTGATAGCTTTTTGAAGCACATAAATTGGAAATATCTACCATTTTATTTAACAATAGAATAAATCAAAAATTAATTTTAAGTACTATCCACAAGTGGAAATGGTTAAATAACATCCTCCTCAGTTACACTTAGAAACACAAATATTGAAGATAGTTTTTCAACTTCTGCGGGATGCTTTAAAATTACATTAGAAAATGAAGGGCAGTTGCTTATCAGAAATTCTATATTTAAAAATATCTCCACTAAAATATCTGAAGAATAATCATTGGGGGGTTGCCTGTATGTTATTGATAGAAGCATTAATATCTAAATTGATATATTAGATTCTATCTATAATACAATTATTGGTACTGCTGAAGGCGGTGTTATTTATCTGCAGCCTATTACCTATTAGATTAACTTCAATTTCACTAATGTGACATTTTAGGATGTATTTTCAAATGATGGTAATATTGCAAAACTTAATTTCCTAAACTAAAATCAATTACTCTATATGTAGAATTGCAAAATTTTATAAACAATAGAGGGCTATTCCTAATTTAGATATTTGTTTGGTTCATTTAAAAAACATCAAACGACCTTGATTTCAATGTAGTAAGGATATCTTATTTTAAGAGATATGTTTGTTCAATTATATTTAAATATATTCTTGTAGTTGAATTATCAAAGCAAAATAAGTTTGACATCTATTGACATAGATTATTCTTATTATTACCAGAATTCTATAATTTAAATTAGCTTTTCAGCAGGTATTATAAAAATATTATATTTATAGACTAACAATGTAAAATAGAAATTATTGGTCTCAAAATGAAAAACTTTTAATGGTACAAAGATGACCCAAGATTATAAACAATCTAGATTAATTAAGTAATTAGTAATTAGGAAAAATTGTCAAAAGACTGTCAAAATTAACAAACATTATAATTAACAAACTCAACTTATGAATTAATAAATTTATCAAATTTTATAGATGAACCCGAAAATTAGATTGAAAGTTTAGTGTAAATAACAAATGTAAAAAATAGAGATTCAATATCAATAAAATCAAGCTAATTTTCAAATAATAAGTGCCAAATTTGTTAATCAGGACTTATTCTTATTAAATTAATTGAGTTGTAATCAGAAAATGTTATTTTGTCAAATATATGGTTAACTGATAATTAATGTGGTGAAAATGGATGTTTATGCGTTGTGTAAGAATTTCAAAGTTAAGATCAAAAGAAACTGTCTCAGTTAACATTAGACACTATATTCTGTTATAGAAATTAAGCAACTAAAGGAGTCTGTATAGTTAGCAAATAAGTTGGTCTAAAGATAATAAATAGTATTTTAAGTGAAAATCTAGCAGTTGAATAAGGAGGAACCATTTAATATGATGGAGACACTACTAATCTAATGCTTCAGAATAACCTTATAGTATCAAATACAGCATAAGAAGGAGGTGCCATATATCTCGGAAACCAAAGTTTACCTGAATTAAATAAAACATTCAACTATTTCAATAATAATACTGCATATGGATATGGTAATATTAGTTCATCTCACTCAACTTAACTTACAATAATATATAAAAATATGTAATTTTCAACGTTAAACACTTAAAATAATGGGTAGATTAACGCTTACTTAACTAATTAATTAAATTCCTCATAATTATTGATCTTAAAATTGCCGAGTGGTTAATAAATTTAGACGTATCAATATTTTGATATAAATCAATAAGAATACTAACATTGGCATTTAAAATTGAGAGTCTTAGCTTTAAATGCTTACAATGAATAACAATTTCATCTTAATAATAGTGAATGTTTAATTGAAAGTGGATATCAGTATGGTTCCTAAGAAATTGTTTTTACAAATAATTTTACAAATTATAACAGAAAAGTTTTTGATTAATAGACATAAGATTATAATTTAGATGATTTAATTATTTATTATGGGACTGAGATTGATTAATCTAAACTAATCTTATAAATAAGTTGTAATAGTGTCTAAATCCCGAAGTATGAAGATAATTTTCCTTATTAGATAATTGATTACAACTCTAATTATTAATTAATTTTGCACATTCAAACTTACCCATGCCAATTAGGAGAATATAAGAATCTAACAGATAATGCTTGTTATTTATGTGACATTAACAAGAAATAATATTCAGTAACTATAAATGCAACAACTTGTTAATTTATGGATGAAGATACAATAGTTTCAATAACACCTGCATAACTTTAATTAAAAGCTGGATATTGGAGACCCTATATAAATAGTGAAATTATTGAATATTGTTAAAATAGAATTGAGAACTGTTTAGGTGGATGGAAATAAGGAGATGAGACCTGTGAAGTTGGCTAGTTAGGGGCATGCTGTGAAGCCTGTGATTAATATAATAGCAGAGGAAATGGCTAATATAGTCTTAAGAAATTATATTAATGTTAAAAGTGTGACAACTTAGATAAATAAATTATTTATATCATTTTGATAGCTTTGTGGTATTTATATTTCAATGATTTTAGGAATTTACTTTCAATCTATTTATCAACAGATGGTGTTCAGAAACTCATATTAGAATTATAGAAAAATAAAGTAGGAACAAGACAACTAATAATTAACAATAATAAATAAACTGGTCCAATAATGAAAATGTTTACAAATTATTTACAAATATTGGCTATTATTATAAATTTTAATGTTGAAATTCCATAAGCATTTAAGGATTATTATAATATTACTGGGAATTCTCAAACTATGTTACTAATAACGACAGATTGCTTTTTAGCTTAGTATTTTTAAGAGGGAATCATTTATGTGAAAATCATTTATAGTATCATTTGTCCACTGTTTTATGGATGGATCTACTTATCTGTATACTTCTTATTGAAAGGTTTAAAGAAGATCGTTTATAATGAAGTAGTGCCAACAACTTGTGTCTTATATTTGTTTTGCTATTTCTAAATATAGGTGATCTAATTATTGATATCTTCATTATCATTTAGGACATT